TGGTGCTCAGGGTGGGTGTTTATTTTCTAGAATACCATCATTAGTTTGTTTGCAAAACTGCTGAATGAAAATAAGACTTTTAAAGCCACAGAAATTTGAGCCTTTTTGTTAATACTTGTTTTGTCCTAATTTATAAAAGATTTTGCTACATGATCTGGTTTGAGTGTCTGGGTTGAAATAAAAAAATTTAGACAGTCCAAAAACAGTTTGACCCACTGCCTTTACAAAAGATTAGTTTCAATAAGTTCCTTCTTATATGGTGAAAAGATTTTCATTACTGTTGGTTTAACCTCATTTTATGCTTCTTTCAGTTCATTCATTCTTCCTTTTATGTGTCTATGTTCAATATGTACTTTATACATAAAGACTCTAAGGTCAAATGTCCTTAAATAAACATTCTTGACTGCCCCTGACAAAAACTTTTTCAAGATTCAGAGCATTATTGGTATACGTGGATAATTGAACTCAACTCTTCAACCTGAAAATGTACTAAAGTAGTAAGGATAGGCTAATTTTCACGTCCTAATCCTAATACATTATTACCTTCAGGCTATTTATTGTATTAGATGCCTACTTAAATTTGTAAGTAATGTTCTTTCAATCAATTAAATGTTCAAAGTGCCCTGTAATGTGACTTTACAGATGATTTATTGGGATTTGTTCAGTCTCTGCCTCCTGTGCTTTCAGGAAACTACTTGGGAGGCAAAAAACACCTTTTCCCCCCCTTTGCAGAAATGTTATATACTGCTATGTTTGGGCAATTACGATATATTTCTTTAAATGAAATCTGGCAGTTCAAGTTAACTAGGGGCATTTATAATTTCCTTTTTATACTTTTGAAATATAACTTCCCTGAAAATATTTATGTGTAATATGTATTTCTGTATTAATGAGGGTTTTGGTATTATTGTTCTTTTTGTTTCTTTTACTATTTGGTTGTCGAGGATTTCTCACATTTCATAGTTTGTTGTGCCTTCCTCCAACTCTGTTGCCACGCTCTTTTTCAAATAATCGATCTTCTCGGACTTTTTTGCTCAGTATACAGTTTAAATAGGTTTTGAGGAAGACTACAACCTAGACACACACCTTTAGCGATTTTAAACAATGCAGTGTTCCCTTGTTATTTTGGAATGACTACATGGAACATAATGTGGCATCCAAATTAGAGCAAAACTCATCAACAACCTGCTTTATGCAGATGACACAACCCTGCAGAAAGGAAAGAGGATTTCAGGTACTTACTAAAGAAAATCAGTCACTATAGGCCTTAGTATGTATTGCACCTCAGCTTAGGAAAAACAAAAAGTCTCACAAATTGGATGAATAAATTACACCATGATAAATAAAGAAAAGAGTGAAGGTATCAAAATTTCATTTTTCTTGGGTTCACAGTCAGCACCCATGGAAGAAACAGTCAAGAAATCAAGCAACATATTGCATTGGGGAAAATATGCTGCCAAGGATCTGTATCTATTGAAAGTGTGAAAGAGCATGGATGCCACATTAAAGACTATGGGGCACAAAACCTTAAAATTGTATTTTCAGTTTCTTTATATACTTATGGAAGTTGGGCAATGAATAAAGAAGACAAAAGTAGAATTAATGCCTTTGAAGTATGATGCTGATGAACAATATTTAATATGCTGTGGACTGTCAAAAGAACAAACAGGTCTATTTTGGAAAGAATGCAATCAAAGTATTCTTTAGAAGCATGGATATTGAAACTTTGTCCAATTCCTTTGAGCATGTTATCAGAAAGGACTAGTTCTTAAAAAAGGACATCATTCTTGAAAACATAGAGAGTCAGAAATTTGGAAGAATACCCTCAAAAAGATAGATTGGCACATTGATTGCAGCAAAAGTTCAACATAGCAGAGTTCCTGAGAAGGGGTTTGTTGTGTTGTACACAGAGTTGCTATTTGAGTGAACTCAGTACACCAACATCTAAAGTTGCTAATTTTTGAGTGATTGTTGTTGTTTAAGTTTGGTTAGGATTTTTGGTTTGTTTGTTTGGTTTTGGTTTTTTATTTGTTTTTTGTTTTTTACTTAATGATATACCTCTCTAAAATACTCAGGAGGAACAGTGTCTCTCTGGAGACTAAGGTGCGCCTGATACAGGCCATGGTATTTGCAATCGCTTGTTATGCATCAGAGAGTTGGACAATGACTAGGGAGGACAGAAGGAGAGTGGATGCTTTTGAGCTGTGGTGCTGGAGAAGGGTACTGAATGTACCCTGGACTGCCAGGAAAACAAACAGATTTGTCTTGGAGAGGATTAAACCAAGCTACTCCTTGGAGGCAAGGATTCTGGGGCTTCGTCTGACAAACTTTGGACATGTTGCCAGGAGGGACGGGTCCTTGGAGGGGGACATCATGCTTGGGAGGGTTGAGGGACAACGCAGGAGGGGAAGACCCTCTATGAGATGGATTGATTCGGTGACTGGGGTAATCGGGATGGGTGTGTCAGAGGCGGTGTGGTTGGCGCAGGATAGAGCAGGGTTTAGGGCTGTTGTGCATAGGGTCACTATGAGTCGGAAACGACTCGACGGCACATAACAACAACAACAACAAACTATAGTAAAAGGTGAAGATCCATGTTTTTTTTTTTAAAGTGCCATTCAGTCCTGTACAACTCATAGTTACCCTATGATCAACAAAGCTGAACCTTTTCCTATCCGGTGCCATCTTCACAATCTCTGACACACTTGAGCCCATTGTTGCAGTCACAGCGTCTGTCCATCTTTCCCTGGACATCCCTCTCTCTTTCCTTGCCTCTTCACCTTTCCAAGCTTGATGCCCCTTTCCAAGGAAAAGCCTCTCCTAGCAAATGCCCAAAGCATGAGAGATGAAGCTTCACCGTCCTTGCTTAAGGAACACTCCAGCTATGCTTTCTCTTTTGACGGTCCATGTGACGTTCAGTACTCTTCTTAACCACACAGCTCAAAGGCGTTAGTTCTTCTTCTGTCATCCCTATACATTGTCCAGTTCTCAGATTCATAGCAAAGAAATGAAAAATCTGTGGCCTGAGTCAGTCACATTTTAATCTCCACGCTGACATCATTGCTTTTCATTATTTTGGAGAGAAATTTGATAGGAAATTTTCCCAATGCAGAGTGTCTCCTAATCTCCTGACTGCTGGTACCAAGGGTGTTGATTATTGCTCCAGGCAAGATTGACAACTGCAGTCCTTTCTCCATCTATCATGATGTTCCAGTAGTGAGGAATTTTGTCAACTTGATGTTGAGATGCAATCTATATTGAAGGCTGTAGTCTTTGATCTTCCCTAGTAAGTGGTTCAGGTCCTCCTCACATTCAGCAAGCCAAGTTGTGTCATCTGCATAATGCAAGTTGTTTGATGAGTCTTCCTCCAATCCTGATGCTACATTCTTTTTTAGAGTACATCTTCGTGAATTATTTGCTCAGCATACAGAATGAATAAATATGGAAAAAAGGATGCAACCCCGACATAGACCATTCTTGATTTTAAACCTTGCTCTGTTTGGACAACAGCTTTTTGATCTACATACAGATTTCATAGGAACACAATTAAGTGTTCTGGGATCCCTATTTTTCTCAATGTTACACATAGTTTTTATGATCCACTCAAATGCCTTTACGCAGTCAATTAAATGCAAATAGACATTTTTTCTGCTATTTTCTGCTTTTCAGTTAGAATTCATATGATGCTGACAATGATATCCCTGTTGACACAACCACTTCTAAACCCAGCTTGAACTTCTGGCAGCTCCCTGTCAATATACTCCTTTGACTGTTTTTTTGGTTTTGTTTTGTTTTTTTGGTGGTTGGGGTTCCTTTTTTTGGGGGTGTGTGTGTGTGTGTGTGTTTGTTTTTTTAAAATCTTCACCAAAGTTTTGCTTATGTGTGAAATTAATGATATTGTTCTGTAATTTTCACATTCTGTTGGAGAACTTTTATTGGGGATGGGAACAAATATGGGTCTCTTCCAGTCAATTGGCCAAGCAGCTGTTCTCCAAATTTCCCAGCATAGACTATTCAGCATATTCAGGTTTGCATCTTTATTTGAAACATATCAGTTGGTATCCTGCCAGTCCCTAGGACATTATATTTTGCCAGTGTCTTTAACACAACTTGGACTTCTTTGTTACCATTGTCTCTTGTTCATATGGTACTTCCTCGAATTTTTCAGTGTCATACAATTCTCTTTAGAACAGTATCTCTGTTTATTTCTTCCATCTTCTTTGGATTCTCTCTGGATCATTCAAGATTTTGCCCACAGCATCTCAGTATTGCCATCTTGAGGTGTGCATTTGGTTTTCAGTTCTTTCAGCTTGAGAAGTGTCAAACTAGTTTCCCCTTTTTTATTCTCTGACTCCAGGTGCTTGCATATTTTTGCTTTGTCTTATTGAGCTTCCTTTTGTAACCATCTCTTTAGCTTTTACTTCAGGATCACTTCCTTTGTTGTGGAATTCTTACACAATTTTTATAGTCTCTTTTGACATCCATTTTGGGTTTCCCCCCTTTCTTTTCTATCTTCATAATGACATTTTTCTTTCTTTATGGATGATATCCTTGATGTTATCCCGTGATAAGATATACAGGTAATAGAAACTATTTTCTCTTCTTTTATGCCTTTATTGCCAATACTATTTATAGTTACTGCCTATATATAAAAATATTTTCACATCAACTTTTTAAATATAATTAAACTTTAATTACTACTGAATATTTAGAAAATATTACTAGCTTATGAAGACTTCCATCATATAAACATCGCTAAAGTTAGCTCTGGTGGGAAATTCTTTGAAGGTTGTGCTTCTAAACCTGAGGGCGCCACCTCTGTAAAAGCTCAAATCTATGGAGTGATTCCAACAGGAAAAATATGGGCAATCTCCTGCCATATGATTATAGCTCACACAAACCCACTGGAGGGTCAGTTTGAATCAGTTCTGACTCAATGACAATGAATCAAGCTTAAGGTTTGTAGTTCTCATGTAACACTTTTTTTTTTCTCGTCATAGATACGAGGAGGAAAGCTCATGATTACTTACACCCGTAAGACTGATGCTGGAAAATACGTTTGTGTTGGTACCAATATGGTTGGGGAGCGTGAGAGTGAAGTAGCAGAACTAACTGTTCTGGGTAAGTGCAAATTTATCTGAACTATTTCTTGTGTGGAGTCAAAGAAGGGAAGGAAGGTATAGCATTAGAGACATAATTATGAGTCAGTTAAATATATCTAAACATATCTTATAAGGGGGCTTTGGTTTCTTGTTGGCAAGAAGCTATGCTGAAATCCCAAAGGCACAAGGTTTGAGGTCCTCCCTCAGCTGCTCTGTAGGAAAAGGATGAACAATCTCCTTCCATGTGATTAACTCTCCCTGAAAACCCACTGGAGGGTCAGTTAGGGGTCAGTTCTGACTCTATGATATGCAACAAAATATTTTATCATCATTTACATTTATATGTAAGAGAAAAAGGAATGATTTTTTTTTTAAAAAATCCTAAATCTCTTCAGAATTCAAGGGATGAGAGACGGAATCAGGATAGCCAATTGAGATGAAATAGCTAAGAAATAGGAATCCTTCTAAACCAAAAGAGAAGCCTTGAGAAGTAGAGAACTATGACAAATCCTTTTCGACAGAATATTTCAGTAAAGAAGCCACTCAGATGAAACATCTGGAATGTGTTTTCATTCATTTATGCTTCATCCTTTTTTTTTAAAGACAGTTCTTTCTAATTTTAGAGAGACCATCGTTTGTGAAGAGACCTAGTAACTTGGCAGTGACTGTGGATGACAGTGCGGAATTTAAATGTGAGGCCCGAGGCGACCCAGTGCCCACAGTGAGATGGAGAAAGGATGATGGCGAGCTGCCCAAATCCAGGTACAGACTGTCAGCTCCACATTGCCGCCTGGCCGTTGTCCACATAAAGGCCGTTTGGATCTTTGACTGTCTTTGATAAAAGCAGATAAAATATCAGAGATAAATAGAACCCACAGGCTCCTAATCTTCCCCTTAAGGTTTTCAGATGAAGATTATACATTCTCATGACTTTTCTCCAGTATGTGGAACACTTGTACATTTGTGATATTTCCTAAACAAGTTTCGCTTCTGTTCAGTCAGTCATAGTAAATACCATTTTCTTGTGTGGAATCAGAGAAGGGGAGGGAGGTATAGCGTTAGAGATATAACTATGAACCAATTAAATGTTGGGCTTTCTTTGTTCCAGCTACAGAATCACTGGGGAATGGTAGAAGGGTCAGAGTTTCTTGATATCTGTCAAGTCCTTAAATTGGTTAGGAGCAGAGATATACTCCCAGCCATAGGTAATAAGGCAATGAAATGAAACATTCAGGCATTATCTGAAGGCTGTCTTCTCTAGTTTGTTCTTTCATTCCAGTAAATATATGTTGATCCCCTGCTAGATGCTGTAGTTACTGCAGGGCATTAGACGGAGTTTCTGCTCTCAAGGAGCACACAGCAAGCAGAGTATATGCTTCTTAGAGAGAAAGAAAACAAATAATGTACTAGGCTTGCTGTTGTCACATATAGATAGACTCACAGAAACAAAAAGGAAGGAAATCATGAGAGAATTTGAAAAAGGAAGTAACACATAGTAGTGTCATGAAAAACAAGTAGAAAATAGATAAAGAGAGAAAGAAAAAAGCTGAGACAAAGAGATGTCAATATCAGCACAAATCTTTCAAAGAGAAATGACATGTTTTGAGTACTGGAGAGTTAAGCCGGCTAGCCTGTAGAAATTACCACAGGAGTCAGGAACACAAGTTTGAAGAGACTGGATGCAGATTATCAGAAGCTTTGTATTCTAAGCCAAAAAATTTAGGAATATATTGCATGTAAATATATTGCATGTACACTCACGAACCAAGATGTGTACACTGGCAGATGAGATGGAGACATGGTGGCTTTATTGAGGAGAAATTGCTGAGATTAAATTGTCAATTTGGTAACTTAGTAGAGAAGTAGTAAAAGAAGTAGGTAGACTTGTGATACTCATGTGTTAGAAAAAGCAATTAAAGTTTTGTAACAAAGAAAATCATATTTTAGTAGCCTAGTGGTAAAAAGCATCACTGCAATCCCAAAGGCACATGGTTCAAATCCACCAGCTGCTTTGTGGGAAATGATTGGCAGTTTCCTCCCCGTAATTTGTTGTTGATGTTATATGCCATCGAGTTGCTTGTGACTCATAGCAACCCTATGTACAACAGCCTGAAAACCTGCTCTATCCCTTGCCAATCTCACTGCCTCCAACATACCTGTCCCCATTACACCAGTAATGGAATCAATCCATTTCACCGAGGGTCTTCCTCTCCTGCTCCCTGGTGAATCTACAATGGGTCAGTTTCCACTCAGCAACACACAACAATGACATTAGATATGATGTCTAATTTTTAGTCTTCAGAAATAAAAAAATTGTAGCTGAGATCAAATAGAAGCTGGGAATATTTGTGTGGTTGATCAATATATCAACAATCACAAACACTCATTGTTGAGTGGGAACTGGCACATAACTCATCTCCTCAGTGGGTTTTGAATGCTGCCAATCCCACAGAAGGAGAATGCCCCTTTCTCCCATGGAGCCACTGATGGATTTAAATTACAAGCATGACACTTGGTCAACAGTTCCCTTATCAATGAGAAATTAAAATAAAAAAAAAAAATTTGTACTCCCATATTAGCAATATAAAACTCAAACACAACCATATCAGCAACATATTAACTGCTGTGTCAACAATATATATCTCTGCTTTAACTCAAAACAGTATGTAGAGTGCAGAGTACTGAAGAGAAACAAGAATACAAAGCTTAACTTAACTTTGCTATAATTGGTAGAGATGATATGCCATTGATATATGCAGATGATATGCAAATGAATGCAGTTCTCTGATGACTAATGATCAGAAGCCCCTGTTCATGTATTTGTTGGCTGCCCGAGTGTCTTGGGTGAATTGTCTGCCTTTGTCCTTTTTTTCCCCATTGTTTAAAATTGGATTGATCTTGCTGTGATGGTGTTGAATTTTCTATAAATTTTAAAGATTAGAACTTTGTCAGAGATGTCATTGATAAAATTTTTTTCTTAGACTTTATGTTCTTTGTACTATTTTAGAGGTGTCTTTTGATGTGCATAAGCATTTAATTTTTATGAGCTACTACTCATCATCTAGTTTTTGAGGTTTTATAAAATATCTCCTGAGACTATGAACTGTGACCCCATGCCCCATAACTCATTCCTTTAGGATATTAGTTGTGGTTAAGATGTTTATGTAATAGTGCCCCCTATTGGCTCTAGTGCATACATGTATAGTTCATCTTCTGCTGGTAGTGAATTTTTAGTTATGTTTGACTGACCATGCCATATTGTTTTAGTGTTGGCTCTTATTTTTAGCAACCCTCCATTAGGTATCTGATACTAAGTCATATGAGAAGAGATTATCCACCTCTGTGCTGTGGAGTGTCTGGTGTATTCAGTCCACTCGACATATGCAGCCTTTGGGCTCCCAGCACAACTTATTACAGACTATACCCCCAGAGCTATCTATGCCATGAAGTGGAGACAGTGCCTGTGCCCTTATCTTTTCATCATGATAATTATAATTTTAGGTTATATATTTTAGGTCTTTTGTTCATCTCGAGATAGTTTTTCCATATGCTATGAGTTATGGATCTTATTTTCTGTTTTCTGAAAACGAATTACCATTTTTCCAGTAGCACAGTAAGGATGCTAGCTATGTAACAGTGCAGCTTGAGAGTGAAAAATCCGACATCCATTAGCTTCACGAGGCAGGAGAATCTCCATAAGTAAGATCAGAATAAAACTGATTCCTCTGAGGTCAGACATATCTTCTACACTCACTGTTCTACTTTTATCAGTTTTAACATTAACCATTTCTCCCATGACTCTCAGTACTCTACTATTGAGCTTGCTAGAGCAAGAATTCTGAGGCTTCGTCTGACTTACTTGGGGCATGGTGCAAGGAGGGACTAGTGTTTGGAGAGGGATGTCATGCTTAGAAGGGTGGAGAGGCAGTGCAAATGAGGAAGACACTGGATTATATGGATTGACTCAGTCCCAGGACTAATTAGAGTAGGTATGTCAGCAGTAATAAGGTTGGCAGAGAATAGAGCA